TGGATGAATGAAACGTGAAATGTGGGACCTGCCTCTCAAATCTGCAAAACAAATTTACCTACGGGTACGAATAAAGTAAACCTAACCTTTTGAGGCATTTAAAGTTCACACTGGAGATCACATACAAGCTGCATTTAATTGGAAATGTGAATGAGCTCGCAAAAGAATCCAAAAGATTTCACACAAAAAATCCCAAATGAGCATTAAGCCCTGCAGTCTGAACGTTAAAACAAAGCTCAGATCATCCCCCAGGAAAAGTTGGTGACGTCAACTGTAAAATATCAATGATTTTCAATTAGATTTTATTTTATTTCAAATTAAAACTTTCTCCTTTCAATGTGGATTTCAGTAAAAAGAGGATTGTCTGTGGATTTATGATTATTGACAACTAAAAACAGTTCAATCTTGATCTAAATAATTTTAAAAAACGTAGTAGATGACTAAACCTAATTGGTAATTTTGTCCTATCGACACAGTCCAAACACTGGTCCGTTTCTTTTTACCGTGAGTGTTCGAAACTACATGAGGAGCTTATATATCCTAAGTTTAACTCTATGTTTGTTTAACGCCACACGATGAAGTTGAAGATGTTGTTTACAGTGCGCGGGACAGTGAAGACATGTGACTCACGTACACTGTATATTTACTAAGGCTTCTTCTTCCTGCTGATACTGATACTAACTAGCACTGTCGTTCTCGTGGCGATTCTTTGTGCTTTCGGCCGACGCTGCAAAAAATAAATATGTACAGTGAAGTGAGAAGATTTATTTTGCGCAGTTTTGACTTGGGTTTCCGCGTGTTCAGTCGAGTTAATTGGTCTTAAATTGAGCTTTAAGTCTTGTTCTAGTGCTGTTACCTCCTCAAAAACACAGCCAGATTTGTGTTTTGTTTCATTCACATTCATGAAGCTGAAATGCTCTGTTCCACCTGGTGATGTCATCAAGAGGTAGTTCAAGTTAAGAGCTACCTTTACCTTTAGGTCAGTAGAGATTCCAGAGCAATTCCAGGGCTGAAATTATCCAAACAATTCTAGTGAAGGTGTAAAGCCGGGTGTACACTGTGCGATTTTTGGCCATGGCCAAGATGACAAAAGCTTTCAGAGGCGATAAAAGCAGACGGCCTGAACTTGAAAACGTTCTTGAAGATGTGGACACCTGCAGCTTATATTCAGGTGTGGCCTATATATGTACAACTTTAAAATTTTGTTAAAATGTAAAATTTATTTCAATAATTCGGAAAATATGGTAACTGTGTCGTGCTTGGTCATGAGCTCTGGGTAATGACCGAAAGGACGAGATTGTGGATAGAGGTTGAATTGAGTTTCCTCCTCAGGGTGGCTGGGCGCTCTCTTAGAGACAGGGTGAGGAGCTCGGTCACACGGGAGGAGCTCGGAGTAGAGCCGCTGCTCCTCCACGTCGAGAGGAGCAGTTGAGGAGGCTCGGGCGTCTGTCCCGGGTGCCTCCTGGACGCCTTCCTCGGGAGGTGTTCTGCACTTTTACCACTGGAATGAGGCCCCGGGGAAGACCCAGGACTATGTATTTCGACTGGACTGGGAGCTCCTCGAGGTAACCTAGAGGAGCAAGAGGAAGTGTCTGGGTGAAGGAAGTCTGGGAGTCTCTGCTTAGACTGATGCCCCTGCGACCCTGCCCCAGATAAGCAGAAGAAAATGGATGGATGGATGGATATATCGTCCTTCATATAGTATACTTGGGTTAACGAGAACCGATTAATACCTCATGACCATCTCCCTATAGGCGAGTTTCATTGTTGACAAAAGCGCTCGTTGCATGCTGGGAATTATTTTGGTTGGCGGCAAGAAACACTAATTCAACATGACGGACGGAACGAGGAAGCACGTAAAGGGTATTGATCCCGGTTATTTATCCACTCTAACGGCAGAGGACCCAAGACCATTTGACCAGAAATTGGTCATAAGCATCGACGGAGCCAAATCACCCTTTTCAACCCCGACAAAAGGTGGAACAAACCAAATTTCTGGTCAGAATCACCAACTACCTGGACAAATATTCACTTTGGCGATATCCACAATGACTTGGTGGAAACTCCTGGGCCATTCACAGCAGAAAAGATGAAAACCTCCAAGAGTCTCGATGTGTTGTTGAACTTGTTGGAACAGTTTGTTAGGATCTTCTACGTTTGCTCTGCGAATGTTTGAAAGTCGTTTAATTCACCGTTAGCGGTTCTTTTCACTCAGAATATGAAAAAGACATTTTCCTTCTTCCGTGCTTCTATTTGTGCATCCGATAATGCAGCAGGAATTTACCATTATCGGGGAGAAATACGCGAGGTTACGCACTGTGTTTGACGCTATCGTGTTTGTTGCCTCTGACCAAAATATTTCCCAGCAGCAACGTGGGCTTTTAATAACAATGACGTCAGCTGAAACTCGCCTATTGGCAATTGCAGGTCGCAAGAATATCGGACCTGTTTGAAATCCAATCTCCTCTCGTGACGGTTTCGCTTTGTTGAAGTCGTTCCTCGAGCTGTGAACTTTTAAACCCTGCGATCTGGTCGTACAGTTTGAGCTGTTGCTGAGTTAAACGATCGAAAATATCGCACAGTGTACGTCCGGCTTGAGGTCCAAGTTGTTTTAAAACACAATGGGGCACCTCCTGTATTACCACATGACATCATAAGGTGGAACAGGGTGTTTTCTGTCTGAGGGATGAACTCAGCCTAAATACGCAAAGTGTGCGTGTTAAAAATATGCGAATGAAACTCAACTCTGGGTGTGTGTTTGTGATGAGAAACAAACATTAAGACATACATCAGAACGTCGCGTCGTTTTGGCTCTTTAAGACACATTTTGCAAGTTTCAGCAAATATGCATTCAAAATTATGCACGTATTTAAAGATTATTACAAAAAAATATGCATTTATTTAATTTTATATTGTTTTATGAAGGCGCTGAATGCAACTTTTCTAGTGTGGGATCCAGCAGCAGAGACGTTACATAGTCCATCTTTAACCCGGCTCAAAACATTTTACCGTTTTACTGAAAGCGAGTTCTTAATTATTTTTTTTTTTCCGGGTATGTTCCACAGTGAGGATTTCAAATTTATTGTGTACAGGAAAAACAGGCTTTTGTTGGCACCGGGCTGTCGGCAGGTGCGCTGAGTTGAACTGGGTTTTATCTTTGTGGAACATACCAGGTAAAGCAGTAACTTCTCAGAAACGCACGAAGCGGATTCCTCACTAGGAAAGTTACTCGGCGCACCTTTACGTGTTATTATATTTATTTTTTGCAGCGCAGTGATCCATGCCACTTACTCATTTTTGCATATCATCTCCCCTACTTTGGTGTTTCCTTGTTCCTTATTTGTTTAAAAGTCCTATATTACACAAAATGAAACCATGTTATAATGCTGTTACCTCGTCAAAAAGTTATTATTATTATTATTAGTCTGTTTACATCTCCAAAACTCACAATGCTCAGTTCCACCTTGTGATGTCACGTAGTCAAAGTTGGGCAAGTTACTTTAAAACTGTAATGTGTTATTTATTTATGACTTGCTACTCTCATTTCAGAGTAATTCATTACATTATAATATTACTGTGTTTAACATGTTAAATATTACACGACTGTTACAGCACTTTAAGAAACTCTCAACAAAATAACTGTGAAGATGGTGAAGTTTTGCGTCGTATATGGACTGAACCAGGACTAAACCAAAACTGAACTAGGACTGAACCAGAGCTGAACCGAGGACTAAACCAGGCCTAAACTAGGTCAACCAGGTCTAAACCAGGACAAAACTAGGTCTAAACCAGGATTAAACCAGGAGTAAACCAGGACTGAACCCAAACTGAACCAGGACTGAACCAGGACTAAACTAGGTCTAAACCAGGACAAAACCAGAGCTGAACCAGGTCTAAACCAAAACTGAACCAGGACTAAACCAAAACTAAACCAGAGCTGAACCGAGGACTAAACCAGGCCTAAACTAGGTCTAAACAAGGACTGAACCAGGACTAAACCAAGTCTGAACCAGGACTGAACCAGGACTAAATCAGGACTAAACCAAAACTGAACCAGGACTAAATCAGGACTAAACCAAAACTAAACCAGAGCTGAACCGAGGACTAAACCAGGCCTAAACTAGGTCTAAACCAGGACTAAACTAGGTCTAAACAAGGACTGAACCAGGACTAAATCAGGACTAAACCAGGACTAAACCAGGTCTAAACCAGGACTAAACCAAACCTGAACCAGGACTAAACCAGGTCTAAATCAGGACTAAACCAGGACCAAACCAGGACTAATCTTGGTCTAGAACTTGGAATCTAGGACCGCCCCTGAGGGAACCCCTAAGCCCGTGGAACAGGTTGTCTGCGGTTCGCCCCGTGGAGCGTGGAGTTCTGCGCTAGTCCTTTCACTCGCGGTCACCCGACGGTCTACACGGGCGAGTCTCCGTCGTTCCACCGCTGCTGATACCGCCGTGATTTTAGCGAATTTGTATGAAGAAAAACAAAAAACCCATCACTTCAATCCAGGTTAAAAAAGCACTGTGACGCGCTTTACTCGCATTTGTACCGAGTAAAATATTACAAATTTTTCCTACATTACTGCGTTACTTTTATAATCCGTAGTAGTAGTTTTTAAGTCAGTTAGCAGCTACTTTTTCATTTTTTTTTTTACCTTTATTTCAGTATAGATCGGCAATTCCAGGGCTGAAATTATCCGCATGATTCTAGTGAATGTGTGTGGAGTTTAAAAACACCTGGGAGCACTTCCTGTATTACAACGTGACATCACAAAGTGGAGCCGAGGTGCAGCGCGTCTGTGCGGAGGAAACAGCATCATGACATAGGTCAGTAAATGGAGTAATATAGTTCCTTTAAAGTGTTTTTTAAAATGATTTAGTTAATAATTTGGAGTCATTAGTGTCCATGCATCTTCTGGGGATGTTACGGAGGCTGAGGCTGTGGCTGTACACGAGGACGAAGAGGAGGAAGAGGAGGAAGAGGAGGAAGAGGAGGAAGAGGAGGAAGAGGACGAGGAGGACGAAGAGGAGCCGGGGCTATTCCAGGTAGATGTCCTCTGTGGGGCAAGAGAACTCCACAAACTCCTTATAATACAACTGGAACGCTTTCCTGAAAGAGACAAAAAAAAAGAGAGAAAGAGGGAGGGATGAGAGAGGGAGAGGGAGGAAAATAGAGAAAGAGGAGAGAGGGAGCGAGAGAGACAGAGTGAGAACGGGAGGGAGAGAAAGGAAGATAGAGCGAGAGGACAGAGGGAGAGAGTTGGGAGGTGGAGGGAGAGAGAGAGAGAGAGAGAGAGAAGAGGGAGGAGAGAGAGAGAGGTTGGGAGGTGAGGGAGGGGGAGGAGAGAGAGAGGAGGAGGAGAGGGAGAGAGAGAGAGAGTTGGAAGGTGAGAGGAGAGAGAGAGAGAGAGTTGGAGTGGAGGAGGGAGGAAGGAGAGAGAGAGTTGGAAGGTGAGAGAGGGAGAGAGAAGAGAGAGAGGTGAGAGAGAGAGAGAGAGTGGAGGTGAGAGAGAGAGAGAGTTGGAGGTGAGAGAGAGAGAGAGAGAGAGTTGGGAGGTGGAGAGAGAGGAGAGAGTGGAGGGGAGAGAAGAGAGAGTTGGGAGGTGGAGAGAGAGAGAGAGAGAGTTGAGAAGGTGGAGGAGAGAGAGAGAGAGTTGGAGAGGTGGAGAGAGAGAGGAGAGAGAGAGTTGGAGGGGAGGGAGAGAGAGAGAGAGAGGGGAGAGAGTTGGAGAGAGAGAGAGAGAGAGAGTTGGGAGGTGGAGGAGAGAGAGAGAGAGTTGGGAGGTGGAGAGAGAGAGAGAGAGAGAGGGAGAGAGAGAGAGAGAGGGAGAGAGAGAGTTGGAAGTTGGAGGAGAGAGAGAGAGAAGAGAGAAGTTGGAGAGTTGGAGGGAGAGAGAGAAAGAGAGAGTTGGGAGGTGCAGGGAGAGAAAGAGAGAAGAGGAGAGGAGAGAGAGAGAGAGAGAGAGAGAGGAGTTAGGAGAGAGGGAGGAGAGGGAGAGAGGAGAGAGAGGGGAGAGAGGAGAGAGAGAGAGAGAGGAGGGAGTTGGAGAGAGGTGGAGGAGAGTGGAGGAGAGAGAGAGAGAGTTGAGGGAGGTGGAGAGAGAGAGAGAGAGAGTTGGGAGGTGGAGAGAGGAGAGAGAGAGAGAGAGAGGAGAGGAGAGAGAGGGAGAGAGAGTTGGAAGGTGGAGGGAGAGAGAGAAAGAGAGAGTTGGGAGGTGGAGAGAGGGAGAGAGAGAGAGGGAGTTGGAGGAGAGAGGAGGGAGAGGAGAGAGAGAGGAGAGAGGGAGAGAGAGAGAGAGAGGAGAGAGAGGAAGTTGGAGGGAGAGAGAGAGAAGAGAGAGAGTTGGGAGGTGGCAGGAGAGAAAGAGAGTTGGAGGAGAGAGTGAGGAGAGAGAGAGGAGAGAGAGAGAGAGAGAGAGAGGGAGGGAGGGAGAAAAAGGAAGATAGAGAGAGGAGACAGGGAGGGAGAGAGAGAGTTGGGAGGTGGAGGAAGGGAGAGAGGGAGGGAGAGAGAGAGAGAGGGAGAGAAAGAGTTGGGAGAGAGAAAAAGGAAGATAGAGAGAGGAGACAGGGAGGGAGAGAGAGACAGAGAGGGAGGACAGGAGAGGGAAGGGAGAGAGAGAGAAAGTGAGAAAGGAAAACAGAGAAAGAGAAGAGCGGGGGGACAGAGAGAGGGACAGAGAGAAGGAGGAGGAGGGGTGGAAGAGGGAGAAAGAGGGTGGGAGGGAATGAGAGAGAGAGAGAGAGAGAGAGAGAGGGTGAGGGAGAGAGAGAGAGAGAGAGAGGAGAGAGAGAGGAGAGAAGGGAGGGAGAAAAATTAAGATAGCGAGAGAGGAGCGAGGGAGGGAGGGAGGATAGGAGGGGGAGAGAGCATGAGAAAGGGAGGGAGAAAAAAGAAGATAGAGAGGAGAGAGATAAAGTGAGTGGGGGAGAGGGAGGGAGGAGGAGAGAGAAAAGGAGGGAGAAAAAAGAAGACAGAGCAAGAGGGAGAGAGAGAGCGAGGGAGGAAGGAAGGGAGAGAGAGAGAAAGTGAGAAAAGGAGGGAGAGAAAAGAAAACAGAAAACGAGGAGAGAGGAAGGGAGGGAGAAAAGAAGACAGAGAGAGAGACAGACAGAGGAGGGGAGTGGACGGAGGGAGGGAGGATGAAAGAATGAGAGAAGGAGAGACAAAGAATGAGATGGAACGATAGAGAGATTGAGAGAAAGAGAGAAACCCAGATGAGACGATTAGGGAGGTGGAGACAGAGAAGGAGAGATGTGGATAAAGAAAGAGACAGTTAAAGAAAGGAGGGGAGAGAGAGAGAAAGAAAGAGAGAAGCAGGAGGGAGGGGAGGTGAGAAAGAGGAAGCGAAAGAATGAAAATCAAACAAATATTTACACATCTGACAGTGTTTATCTGCTTGTCATTTCTGTGGTCAAAGTCTAATCTGAGTCTTTTCTCTCTGTTTGACTCACGAGTAAAATCCTTTGTTGACACATTTATAGTTTTGACACATATTTGCTTTTCGCTGTCATGTTTGAGTTTCTATATTTAAAGTATGAACAGGCCTGATGGTGTGAGTCTGAATTACCGTAGTTTCCAAACTATAAGGCGCTCTGGTCTATTTTCGAACTTTTTTCACAAATAAACCGCACCGGACTTTAAAATGAAACACAACAGTTGGAAGGTGAGTGGTTTTGTTTGTTTGTTCGTTCACGGTGACTCTGGGCTTTGTTCAGTTGTGGCGTGTAGGGAGGTGCTGTCTGGGACCAACGGATTGTCGGCGTGTTCGCAGAAGGGATGGGCATGATTAATCGATAATTGATCATTAAGAATTTCATCGATTACGTTAATTTTAATCGACAAACCGAATGTAGGTTGCTGTGCGTAGCGTGACCAAACAGGGTCTGTACATGTGTCTCTCTGCACTCAGAAGGAGCGAGACACAAACAGTCGGTCCAGTCTGCAACGTACCGAAGCACAAATGTGTATTTAACGATGATTTGTACAAGAAATTCCAGGCTTTCTGTTGCGTTCGGGACAAGTGTGAGTCCATGTGCACAAAGCAGGAACATATGTTTCTGTGTCCAGTGGGAAAAAGTTTTACCAGGTGAGAGTCGCGCAATGTCGATGACGAGTCCCCACCTCCCTCCCCCCGTACGGTGTCCTGGTTTTGACAAACGCAAATCTATGGTCACACTAACCTGTATTCACCTGAGTCATGTCTTTTAATCCGACAGAAGCTGAACTGCATCAGCGACACAAGAGCTGTAATTTTATCTTCGCTAAGTTTATGCAAATTAGTGATGCAGTTTTAAGTTTCATTTCTGTAAAAGTTGCGCAAAACTGAATTAAACACATTATAATGTCAAACGGGCTGATGTGGCTCTAGAGTGGTTATGGTTTATATGTCGTAAAGTTGAATTTATTTATGCAGATTAGTAGTGCAGATAGTAATAATAATGATGATCATTTTAATATAAAAACGTTAATGATTAATCGATAATCGATCGTTAATTCTTCCGACGATCGATTAAGAAAATTTCATCGAATGCCCATCCCTAGTTCGCAGTGACTCAGTTGTTCAGTCGTGTCTAGAAGCGGCACATTGCACTCGCTTTTTCGGTTCGTTCCTCCGTTCCGTTCCTCGTCGGCGTGGAGTGATGAGTGTGTCTGTGGGTGTTTGTCGTTGTGCGGTCGCTGTCTGCTCCGTGTGTGTTTGTGGCTTTGTAGTTTACTGAAGTCGTGCTGGGACACTCGAGTGGATTCGTGTGTAGGGCGCTCTGGACTGTGGGGCACGGTCGTTTTTTGACGGGGTTGGAGGCTTAAGAGCGCGTCTAATAGCCCGGAAAATACGGTAGTCCAGGAGCCAGACAAACTCCATCGTGATTATTTGCTTCCTTTTTCTAATTATTACTTTTAATTAGTGCACCTCTCGAGACACTTTACGAGTTCAGGGTCTTTTATTTCAGCTGAGTCTGGTTCGGTGTCAGGGTCAGTGTACCATTTGTTCTTTTGAATTTCATTTAAAGTGCCCATCTCATGCAAAATAACTCTTTTCACATATCTTCTGCACATAAACAAGCACAATTTGGGTTTTGGAACATCCATTACACAATAGTTATGAAATCTTACTGATTTCTTGGAGTCAGTCACAGACCAGGAACTATGAAAGTCCGACTGTTGCTCATCCCCCCCGCCCGTCCTGAGAAAGCACAGGCTCCGCCCTCCAAACGTGACGTAGACTCTGAGTGAGCCGCCCTTCCTCCGCCATCTCAGGGAGGGAGGGCGAGACAGACGTGCACCCTGATAGCGGCAGGAATAAACTTTTATTCATCATGGAGATACACGCGTTCAGCCGCATGTGTTGGACCCGGAATCGGACGAGGACTTTGAGATGAACGAAGCTCAAGCACCGTGTCGACATCAGTTTAATAAATGACAGTAGATAAACTTATTATATCGTGCACACTGGAAGAGGCGGTGGAGCGGGGGAGGGGGGCGGTTGCGAAGCGCTTTCTGCTACGTCATCGTTGTAGCAGCTTTAGTTCAGGCATGTCCAAACTATGGTCCATGAGCCAAATGCGGCCCCCAGACAAATTTTTCTTGGCCCTCGGGCTTCCAGGTGAATTGGCCCATATGACCTTGCATCAATTAAAAATGAACTTTTTACTGCAAGTTTTTTGAAAATCTACCTGATAAAGCTAAATATTAAATATTTAGTGTGTGGTTTTAAGGATGTCAGCATGAATAAAGACTGATGGCTCATTCTAACGTGTTAAACATGCACATATTTCAATTATTCTCTGTACTGAGCACCAGTCTACGGCCCTCGATCATCCCTCTGCTTTGTCTGTGTTTAGATATGTGGCCCTTGATGAAAAAAGTTTGGACACTCCTGCTTTAGTTCGTTGTCACGTGGGAGGGTGGCAGAAATACGCTGCAATTTGTAAAAAAAAAAAAAACGTCAAATCAATCTAAAAACCACTTTGGCGACATATACAAGGCCCACACGTCACTCTTAGAAGGTAGAAAGCTCTGAGAAGATGATTTTGCATGAGATGGACCCTTTAAAAACGAAAAACAATAAAGTGGGAAAACTGTTTATTTCATTATTCCATTTTAGTGTCAAACAAAAAAACAGGTTTCCACCTCTATGTCCAATATTTAATTTAAAGTTTATTTCAAATAACACCACTCAAAAAACAGTCTCAGTTTTAATTCTGATGTTTTATTCTCTCTTGTTTATTTGAAGTTCTGCTGCTAGAAGGACTTACTTGAAAAATCGTTGCAATTTTGTGGACAAAATGACAAGAAACAAGTGATAAACTTAGTTGAGCTGACCCCATAAAATTATAATAAAAATAGTTTTCATTATAGATCCATGGTTGAGCAGAACTTTCGGAGCAATAAACTCTCCTTTATTCAACTGACCCCATAAAATGATAATAAAATATTTTTTATTATAAATCCATGGTTCACACGCGATGCAATAAGAACTTCTGGGGCAAATAAACCAGAGAGAATAAAATATTAAAATTAAAATAGTCACAGAGACTTTAAACTTCAAATTAAATATTGGAAATAGAGGTTGAAATCAGTTTTTTTTTTTTTTTTGTTTGACACTAAACAGAATAATGAAATCTGTAAAAAACTGTTTTCCCATTTTATTGTTGTTCGTTCTTAATTGAAATTCAAAAGAACAAATGCTACACGGACCTCAGTGCCTATTCCACATTTGATGTCCTCTTCTTTTATAGCGCCATGTTTACTTTTGTGTGCTAGAAAGTTGTTGAACTCCATGACGAGAAACAGGTAGCAACAATAAACTCTACAGTTGACACCATAAAACTATTCTAAAAACAGCTTTTTTACAGATCCATGGTTCACACTCGCCGCAATAAACGACAGAAATTCCAAGGCAAATAAACCAGAGAGAATAAAATATCATGATTGTTTTACCTGAAATAAACTTTAATTAAATTTTGAAAGTAGAGGTCGACATAATTATTTATTTTTTTTACACTAAAAGAGAATAAACTAAAATATTTCATTATTCCATTTTAGTGTCAAACAAAAAAACTGATTTCGACCTCTATTTCCAATATTTACCATATTTTTTGGACTATAAGTCACACTTTTTTCATGGTTTGGGTGTTTCCTGCGACTTGTACTCTGGTGCGACTTGTGAGGGACTGGTGGAAAGTCGGGATGGAGAACCCAGCTTCACGGGAACCAGGAGGATGCACCTGTGTAACATTCCTGGAATTCACTGGATGGATGGACAAAGTTTGGACTTCAGTGACACCGAAACCATCCTGTCGGGATTCAGAAAGGCCGGAATAATTCTAACTGGAACTGATGCTGAGTCTGAGGACAGCGACACAGAAGAGGAAGCGGCGCTCTGTTTACCTCATGGATTTATGGTTTATCTCCGGAGGTCGTGGAGTTGCTCAGAAGTGACACCGAGGACGAAGAATTGAATGGATTTAGTGATTTGGAGTGAGATGGAGAGTTTGGTACACAGCAAAAACTGGAGGGTTAAAATTGTAGGGTAAAATATTTCAGAGTTGTTTTTAACACCAAAAGTGTTATTTTAACTATTTGAAAGTTAAATGGGGGTTTGAGTTGGAGTTATTTGTCAAGAGTTGATGTGGCTGAGGTTAATTCGACTTCCTCTAGTGTTAATTCAACTTGCCTTAGTGTTAATTTGGCTCCGCCCATTCACCACTTCAAACTCTTGTGAGAGAAGACCAGTTTAAACCAGTTTTGTACATATTTTCATCTTAAATTAACTAAAATAAAGTAAAAATAAAATAAAACACCTCTGTGTGTTGTTCAGCTAAATCAGAATAACTCTAAAAAGTGTTATCTGTTTACTCTCAAAACATTAATATAACTCTGGATTTCAGGGTTATACAGAAACTTTAGTCCAGCGTTACTTAAATAACATTTCCAAAAATGTTAAATTAACTCTAGAACAGATTGGACTCATATAAACTCTGAGAAAATGTTAAAGTTGATTTTGTGAGAGTCAGTTTTAACACTTCACTTCTTGCTGTGTAAACGTGTTCTGTTCTGTTGTTTATGTTTTTTACTAGAACTTGACTTTCAAGATAAAATGTCGGTTGCTGGTCTTTGATTTTATAAAATACATTTCCCCAAAAAGTGCAATTTATAGTTCGGTGCAACTTATATATGATTTTTTCTTCTTCATTGCACATTTTTTGGCTGGTGTGACTTATACTCCGGAGCGATTTATAGTCTGGAAAATACGGTAATTTGAAGTTTATTTCGTGCCTATTTCAATTTTGATATTTTATTCTCTCTGGTTTATTTGCGTCAGAAGTTCTGGAAATTACGGTGTTCATGTGTCGTGCTTCGTGTAGTAAACATGGGGTGACGAGAAACGATTAATACCTCACGACCAGCTCCTGATCGGCAATCACAGGTCACAAGAAAATCAAACCTGTCTGAAATCCAGTCGCCTCTCATGAAGGTTTCGCTCTGTTGAAGTCGTTCCATGAGCTGTGAACTTTTAAACCCTGAGATTTGGTCGTACAGTTTGAGCTGGGACTGAGTGAAACGATCTTGAAAATATCGCACAGTGTACGTCCAGCAGAATGTCCAAGTTTCCCCCTGTATTACCACCTGACATCAGAAGGTGTTTTCTGCAGTGTGAACCATGGATCGATAATAAAAAATATTTTATTATAGTTTTATGGCATCAACCGAACAAAGGAGAGTTTATTGCTGCTTCCTGTTTCTCATCCTGGAGTTCAACACTGACTTTCTGGGACGTAAAATTAAACGTGTCGCTATAAAAGAAGATGTTTGTCCACAAAACTGCAACGATTTTTCAGGTGAGTCCTTCAAGCAGCAGAACTTCCGAGGCAAATAAACCAGAGAAAATAAAATATCCAAATTGAAATAAGCACGAGACTGTCTTTTCATTGGTTTATTTGAAATAAACTTCAAATTAAATATTGTAAATAGAGGTCGAAATCTTTTTTTTTTTAACACTAAAACTGAATAATGAAATAAAAAACTGTTTTCCCATTTTATTATTTTTCGTTCTTAAGACGTCATCGGTGTGTCTGCCGCGTCATCGTTATAGCTGCTTTAGTTCGTTGTCAGGTGGGAGGGTGGCAGAAATACGCTGCAATTTGTTAAAAAAAAACACCAAATCAATCTAAAAAACACTTCGGCGACAAATACAAGGCCCACACTTCACTCTTAGAAGTTGATTTTGCATGAGATGGACCCTTTAAGAACGAAAAACAATAAAGTGGGAAAACAATTTGTTATTTCATTATTCCGTTTTTGTGTCAAACAAAAAAACTGATTTCGACCTCTATTTCCAATATTTAATTTAAAGTTTATCACAAATTACAGCAATCAAAAAAACAGTCTCAGTGCCTGTTTTAATTTTGATATTTTATTCTCTCTGGTTTATTTGCCCCAGAAGTTCTGCTTCTAGAAAGACTTGTGTGAAAAATCGTTGCAATTTTGTGGACAAAATTTCAATTGATTGTTTTTCGTTTTTAATTGAAATTCAAAAGAACGTCAGGACTCCCAAAACCCCTTGTGCAAAATGATCTGAGTCTGTTAAAAGTGCTACTATAGTGTCGCAAAGTCGTGAAATTTGGAACACAGAATACTGACATTATGAGGAAAACAGTATAATATAACCTTACAGGGGTTTATGCATTTCTGTTTACAATTATCAGACGATTTAAACAAAAAATATATATAAAAAATTGATTCTCAAGCTCGAATCCTCTCCACCAAGTCATTAAGTCTGAGAAAAAAAACTGAGAACTGTGTGAACGGATAAGAAATGTTCCAAATAATGTCAACACCTGTGCCGCTGTTCAGATGTGGGTTCGAATCAAATGATTAAAAAAAAACCTAACCCAATTTTTTTTAAAAGTCCTAAAAGATTTTAAAAAACTGTGATGCTTCGTAAACGGTGAGATAATTCAGAGGAAAATAGCTCCAACTTAAGATCAAAATAGGTCAAATATTTAAAGTTAAAAAATAAACTGAGCAGTGCATTTCTGGTTCTGCAAGTTTTCGTTTTCATTTTATTCATTCTTTTTCTATTTGTCTCCACATAACATAGTCTATTCTGTCTGAAAATCTGAACTTTATGGGAAAATGAAAGGAAATTTTGCTTCCAGAAACAGAAACAAAGACAAGAACTGGCATGAAAGTTGTCGTCAGAATGTAAAAAAGCTCTGTGTTCTTGCTCTAAACGACAGATGCAGAGGAGGAGGACTCACCCTACAGACTCGGCGATGGGTTTGGTGGAGTTTTCAGACACAAAGACGTGACAGGCAAACCTCTGATCGGCCGGGTGCTTCGTAATGAAACCGAAATATCTGCAAAGGCAAAACACACAGAGAGATCAGGTTTTGTACAGAGTGACTGGGGATATTTAAAGATACTAAAGCTGCAAACAATAAGTGTTTAGCAAGTCAACTACTTAAAGGGCTCATATTACGCGTTTTTCCGGACTATAAGTCGCACTTTTTTCATGGTTTCCTGAGACTTATATATTAAAATTTTCACACTGACAGCGGTGAGAGGTTCTAGTCTTGTGTGTCAGTATCTGCTGCTCCTGTTCCTCCTGTACCACTGTCACTTCACTCTACTGCGCATGTCTCCTGCAGAAAGAGCCTCTGTCCTGTCTGTATCATGTCAGTCGATTCGCACCGTTACTTCTGCACCACTGAAAATTTAACATTTAAACAAACTTATAAAGACGATTGAGAAGAATGAACACAAATGCCCCCAAAATGAAAACCATATTTTGCAGATTACAAGCTGCAAGTAGCAAAATATTCAGGTGAAAATGGCAATCGAGCAGCAGAAAGAAAGTTTGGAGCGAGCGAGAAAATTGTGACACCGAGAGGATGCGACATGAAACTTTTCTGAAGTCACTGGATGGATGGACAAAGTCTGGACTTCAGTGACACAGAAATCATCCTGTCGGGATTCAGAAAGACCAGAATAATTCTAACTGGAACTGATGCTGAGTCTGACGACAGCGACACAGAAGAGGAAGCGGACGCTCTGTTTACCTCCTGGAGGTCGTGGAGTTGCTCAGAAGTGACACCGAGGATGAAGAATTGAATGGATTTAGTGATTTGGAGTGAGATGGAGAGTTTGTTAAACTTGTTCTGTTCTGTTGTTTATGTTATAGTTTATCTGAAGAACTGTTCATATGTGACGTTAACAGTCTGTTGTTCTCTGTTCTGTTGTTTTTACTAGAACTTGACTTTCAACATGAAATGTCGGTTCCTGGTTTCTGATTTTATAAAATAAATTTCCCTCAAAAAGTATGACTTATATATGTTTTTTCTTCATTATCTCCGCCAAGGAGGTTATGTTTTTGCCGGCGTTTGTCTGTTTGTTTTTTGTTTGTTTGTTTGTTTGTCTGTTAGCAACATAACTCAAAAAGTTATGGACCGATTTTGATGAAATTTTCAGGATTTGTTGGAAATGTGAAAAGGAAGAACTGATTTCATTTGGGGGCTGATCCGGAAGAAATCCTGGATTCTGGATCACTTTGAAATTTTAGTTAACATTGTGGTAAATGGGGCCAAAAATTTTGTTTCTCAATATCTCGGTTAATTATTGACCAAACCCCATGAAACTTGACTCAGGGATGGACAATGGGATCCTCTTTCATATTCCAAAGGCTGATCCGGATCTGATCCAGAAGACTGATTTTATCGCAATTTATATAAAAAAATGGGGGTAGTCCTTGGCGGAGGTCTGCGCTCTCTGACTGCTTTTCTAGTTACATCTTTTTTGGCTGGTGCGACTCATACTCCAGAGCCACTTATAGTCCACAAAATACGGTACTCATTTTTCTGATCTATGTTATAATGTTGTTTCTTCATCACAAACAGACCTGGAGTTGTGTTTTGTTTCATTCACACAAGTTTAACTCACAAACCTGCGGCTGAGTTCTTCACTTAAACTGAAAACACTCTCTGTCCATCCTGTGATGTCATGTGGTGATACAGGAAGTGCTCCACTGTGTTTTTAAATTCTTTAAATACACTTCACTAGAATCATTTGAATAATTTCAGCCCTGGAATTCACTATCTCTACTGGACTAAAGGTAAAAAAAATTAAATACTGCTTCATGACATCACAAGGTGGAACAGAGCATTCTGAGCTTTGGAGATGTAGACAGACTAATAATAAAGCTTACTCCAGTTACTCAAACGTGTGTGAATGAAACAAAACACAACTCCAGGTTTGTTTTTGATGAGGAAACCACATTATAACATGGCTTAAAAATCACATGAGTAAATTTGATGTAATATAACTCTGCCCTGCACAGTCCTGTCACAAGCTGAGGGCCGATCATTGCCACTTGCGGCTATATTTGCTTTTGGAGTCTCATTATAGTCCAAATAATAAATGGTCCATTGATTAATAAAATCTTATACAATGAAACGATTCATCACATTTTTATTTATTTGTCTGTGCAATAAAAACATTTTTTTTTGTCTCTAAAGTTACATACTGTGGCTTTAGTCTTTGTCCACACTTACTTGCTGTTCTTGGGGTGATAGCCACAAAAAGACACGTTTTTTAGTTGGAAGAAATGGTTGCACTCGTTACTCTGTGGAGAAAACAGACACGGACATGATTAAAAACTAAAAAAATATTAAAACAATGTAGGCAAAATTAAATTAAATTGGAACTAAACTAAACTTTTTTGTAGTTTCAGTGACAAATATTTAAATATGCTGCTTGGTGGTCAAAAACAGTCAAAAGCTGAGTGTGTGCTGCCTCTAGTGGCCACTGCAAGTACTACATGACATCACACATGACTGACTTATTCAGGTCGAGTGATTCTGATACAAACACCTGACTGAAGGGGCGGAGTCTGGAGGATGGATGCCTGTTATCCAGTGGTGTAATGAGGATTTTTTAAGTGGGAGAACTAGACTCATGACGCCAGTCCTGGTTCAGTCCTGGTTTAGTCCTGGTTTGGTCCTAGTTTAGTCCTGGTTAAGTCCTGGTTTGGTCCTGGTTTAGACCTGCTTTAGTCCAGCTTTAGTCCTGTTTAATCCCGTTTTAGTCCTGGTTTAGTCCTTCTGGTTCAGTCCTGATTTAGTCCTGGTTTAGACCTGTTTTAGCCCTGGTTAAGTCCTGGTTAAGTCCTGGTTCAGTCCTGTTTTAGACCTGGTTTAGTCCTGGTTCAGTCCTGTTTTAGACCTGGTTTAGTCCTCCTGGTTCATTCTGGGTTTAGCCCTGTTTTAGTCCTGGTTTAGTCCAGTTTTAGTCCTGGTTTATTCCTGGTTTATTCCTGTTTTAGTCCGGTTTTATTCCTCCTGGTTCAGTCCTGGTTCGGTCCTGGTTTATTCCTGTTTTAGTCCTGTTTTAGTCCTGGTTTAGTCTTTTCCAGTTCAGTCCTGGTTCAGTCCTGGTTCAGTCCTGTTTTAGACCTGGTTTAGTCCTGGTTCAGTCCTAGTTCAGTCCTGTTTTAGTCCTGTTTTAGTCCTGGTTTAGTCCTTCCAGTTCAGTCCTGGTTTAGTCCTGTTTTAGTCCTGGTTTAGTTCTCCTGGTTTAGTTCTCCTGGTTCAGTCCTGTTTTAATTCTATTTTAGTCCCGGTTTAGTCCTGGTTTCAGTCCTGTTTTAGTCCTGTTTTAGTCCTGGTTTAGTCCTGGTTTAGTCCTGGTTTCAGTCCTGGTTTAGTCCTGGTTTAGTCCTGGTCCCTCACGTCTCAGATCACTATAGGACAGACATGTGTTAGTGTGCAGAGTTTAGATGTTTAGTCCCACTGTAAACACAACATGGTTTATAAAAAAAAAAATAAATGTAATAAAATAAAAGCTTTTTAAACTGTGGTGGTAATGTTGGTTTAATTGAATCGTCGGGGGCGAGCTCACCCGATCACAGGCGTAATAATCCTCTTGTACTGAGAGCTTGATTCCTTTAACATTGATCTCTAAAATACAGGAGGAGGGCGGGTTGTACTTCACCGTCATTCTTCTGTTTGTGGCGATCTGCAACACAAAACACACGAGGAACAGTCTGAGTTCAGTCGTCATCGTCGGCACTGTAAATGTGAAAAGTATTACCCCGAATTCACACCAGGAGCTGCAGCAGCGCTTAACGTAGGCGGAGCTGCGTGTACGCGTACATTTCAAAGTTTTAATTCACACCAGAGCGTCAGAGCCTCTCCTGTTACGCAGCCTGCACATCTTCTCACTGTTTTCAGACATCACATTTTGTACTTGCTTTTTATCATTTATTTTATGTTAAAGTGTATTAAGTCAGAATGTGTATTAAATGTATTGTGAATTAAGTGTACAACTGCAACGCATTTGCCTTTAATGAGGATTAAATCTATTAACACGCACATTAAACACCTCCGATTTTTTTCCCTTAATAAGGTAAAATCACGTATAATTAACATACATTATGAGTGTGATTAAAATCTTATGTCCGTCCAGGTAATAAGGCCGATACGTTTATATGTTGATACAGAGTCCTGCACCGATGGATACGGGCAAATAGTCGCGGAAACGGGCGAGATTTAATGTTCTGGAATTTTAAGGGCGGGTCAGGACTAATTCAGGTCTAAACCAGGTCCAAACCAGGACTAAACCCTGACTAAATCAGGTCTAAACCAGGTCTAATCTTGGAGAGAGAGAGAGAACCCTGAGCCCCGTGGAGCAGGTGTCCGAAAAGCGCGACGGCTGCACGTACCTCTTCTCCAAGCTCTGCACCGGTCCTTTCGCCCGCGGACACTCAGGGCTACACGGAAGGACCCCCGAGCGCATTTCACCAGTGAGTCCTGGTTCTGGTTTAGTCCTGGGTTAGTCCTGGGTTAGTCCTGAGTCCCTGTAGAATTGGTGTCTGACATCGTAAATCACGTGCGCGTTGTTTACGTCGCTGTCTTGACTTTGGTTAAATTATTTTGAAAGGGCATCGGAAGTTTATTTTGACACCGCGTGTTTATTTCCTGTCTTTCCCCTGCTTAAAACCTTGGAGACGCGCCGTTGACGCTGCAAAATTAGAACTCCAACCTCTCGAGCAGCGCGTCAGCATCAGAAGCTCGTTGGACGCGCGTATGACACTGTCGGTGTTACACTGTCAGACCGGTTCAAATGGAGTTCTAAAGCAGCGCGTCTGCTGCTCGTGTGCTGTGCTGCTGCGCTTATGCACCATTGCGCTTTGGTGTGAATTGGGGGTTAGGCTACGTTCCGACTGACTACAGACTCCTAAATCTGATTTTTTTTCGCCCCATGTGACCTGTATCTGATCTTTTAATGACAGTCTGAACGACACAGATCTGAATTTTTTTGTGCTCCTTAAACTGATACATATCTGATCTTTTGACATGCGACTTCAGTCTGAACGGTCAGGTCACATTCATCCCACCTACACGTCAGGCTCGGAGTCTCATCAATGAAGGGAATGCGAGGTTAACGAATTCATTAATATTTGGGGGGATCGCTGTATTCGGGACAAATTGGAGGGGTCTTATCCGAACCGGGCAGTTTTTGAAATGATTGCCAAAGAAATGTCCGAGTGCTGCTACAGGTGGTCCTGGCTCCAATGTCAACGAAAAATAAAGATCCCGTGACTAAATACAAGGAGGATAAAGACCCAAACAAACGAAGCGGCTGTGGATGTGTGACCTGTCCATTTTATGAAGAACTGGGCCGTATTTAGAAAGACAAGCCCGGTGTTTCCTCGACAAGGTTTCGCGGGCGAGTGTCCTGCGTTTCACCGCTGCTGATATCGCGGTGATTTTAGCGAATTTGTATGAAGAAAAACCCACCACTTCAATCCAGGTTAAAAAAGCATTGTAAAATATTTAATTTTTTTTCCCTGTAATGCCAAACATTACAGTGTTACAGCAAAATGCAACACATTACATCGTTAATTTTATAATGCGTTACTCCCAACACTGATTATAAATGTGAACGACCTCGCAAAAAAACCCTGATTTTTACAAAAAAATCCAAAGGGAGCATTAAGCCCTGCAGTCTGAACGTAGCCATAGTATTAGAAATGTAAAAAAAAATATATTGTTTTGAAGTATCAGTACTATTCCTTTATGTTTGTGTGCATTTGTAGCAAAAACCTTAGTAAATAATATTAAATGAATGTACTGTCAAACCTGTTGAGGCATTATAAACCTCTCATTATTTTCCTGTAGATTAGTAAAGTGAGGAGATTTGGGAAAATTTGGGGTTTTCTTAATACACTTTTTTTTTTTAAAAGGTGTAACAGTGCCTGAAATCCCAATTAAAATGTTATTAAATGCGCATACCAACATTCAAAAGTGATGCCCTAAACATTTGTCACTCTCACTCCAGTACAATTTTGCCTCTTGTATATCCATATTCACTCTAAATACAAAGTATGAATAGAGCATTAGGAGAGCAGGGGTTCGTTTACCTTTTGCATAGCCGCACAGAGCACGTCGTTGCCTTTGTGGTACGGCACCTGGACCGACCCCAGGAACTTGAGTCTGTATCTGTCCATCCACTCACTGCTCTTCACTGAGACACAAGAGAAGACGAGGATGAGTCAGAACACATGAGTACTGAACATTACATTTGTTTTCACATCTATAGCATTTTGTATTCTTTTGATTTATACAGGGTTTGTAAAACGGGGGACAGCTAACTATAAGGAGAGATTTAAAATAGGGCTGGGGAAGAAATCGCCGGGTGTCAGTCTTATCATCAGAAGTCAGAAAATCCATGTTCAGGTAGTGTTACAAATTGTTACAAATGAAATTGTATTTCAAGTTTTAAATATTTTAAAAAGTAAATATTAAAAGTAATAAATATATTAAACCCTTAAAATGCAGTAAAAATGTTTGAGGAAATAATGATTTGGGTGGAAATGGTCTGTCTTAAGTGTAACAGGGTTAATAATTGTCTGATTTTCAGGCAGCAACTTGCAAAATGTTCAGTAACTCGAGCTCTACAACCTTCATTTCAATTTTATTTTAAATCTTTTTCTTTTAATATAGCATTGGTGGGTTTGTAAACCAACAAATTAAGTAAAGCTGGCCTTAGCTAAAGCTGTTATGCATGATTATGCGTTTTCCTGTCAATATCTCTAAAAATGTTGATGTTGCAGCCATTTTTAATTGGTAAACATCCAAAAGTTTACCAATTCTTCCCTGATATCCAGGGATTATTCTCTGTTGCTTTCATCAAATATACATTCAATTGTTCAAGAGAAATGTTGCTGACAAACCAATAGAAGAGGGAATGATTTTCTGACGAGTGGGCCTCCTGATTAAAGGGCCTTCTGATGATAAAGGTGTAACCGAAATCGCCAAATTACCGTGTTTTTCAGACTATAAAGCACACTTAAAATCCTGTAATTTTCTCAAAAATCGACAGTGCGCTTTATGTATTGATTCTGGTTGTGCTTAGTGACCTCAAACCAATTTTATGCGGTACACAGCGCTCAAAAATCAGTCAAAAATTTTTAATAAGACTTTGGTAAACTACGAAGACATAGTCGTGTCCTTTCGTTTTTCCACGCACAAGGAAAGAGATATTTTTTTCAGAGCTTACAGTTTATGCAAATGAGCCATGTGGTTTTAAATTTTGTTTCAGTCCAATCCACTTTATTTCTGTCGCACATTTCACAAACAAACAGTTTCCAAATTTCTGCACAAATACGTAATAATAACAACAAAAATAAAATGATAAAATAAAATACTAAAATAATACTAGTCTTAAAATAATAAAACCAGTAAAATAAAATAAGAACAAAATTATAGAATAGAAATAAATAAACCAATAAATAAATTTAATCTCTGTTAAATGTAAACAAATGTGCACAAAGCTGCATTAAACACATTATTGCTCAATGTATATTTGAGTCGTCCTCGTAGGAAATAAAAAAAAACTTAACGAGTTACGCCACGATCTGCCAATGGATCGTGGACGCCTGGACTAAGGATCAGTCTCAAGTGTCGTCTGTTTGTTTCACTTAATGTATCGTATAATTCGGTGCAATTTATGTATGAAAATAGACGAGAGAATTCAACATTATTCATATTGCGGTTTATAAATCCGGTGCGTGAAAAATGCGGTACTGAAACATACATGGATGACTAAAACCTCTTCTGGGATGTTTTTGATGAGGGTTATAACATTGTACAAAACAGAGAAAGTATGTGTGCTAGGGATGGGCATTCGATTAAATTTTCTTAATCGATCGTTGAGAGAATTAACGATCGATTATCGATTAATCATTAACGTTTTTATATTAAAATGATCATAAATAAATTCAAATTTACGACATAAACCGTAACGACTCTAGAGCCACATCAGCCCGTTTTGCAGATTTGTGCAACTCTCACAGAAACTAAACTTAAAACTGCATGACTAATTTGCATAAACTATGTGAAGAAAAAAACACAGCTCTTGTGTCGCTGATGCGGCACGACTCAGTGGAATTCAGGTTAGTGTGACCATATTTGCATTTGTTAAAAACCAGGACACCGTACGGGGGGAGGGAGGTGGGACCTCGTCATCGACATTGAGCGACTCTCACCTGGCAAAACTTTTTCATGTTTTCTGTGTCCTGGTGAGTTTTTCTCACTGGACACAGAAACATATGTGCTGCTTTGTTCACTGTGCACATGGACTCACACTTGTCCCGACCGGAACGGAAAGCGTGGAATTTCTTGTACAAGTCATCGTTAAATACGCATTTAACCGACTGTTTGTGTCTCGCTCCTCCTGAGTGCAGAGAGACACATGTACAGACCCCTGTTTGGTCACACTACACTACGCACATCAACCTGCATTCAGTTTGTTTAAAATGAACATAATCGATGAAATTCTTAATGATCAATTATCGATTAATCGACTAATCATGCCCATCCCTAGTGTGTACCTTTGTGTGTATTTTTGTGCATGTGCGTACCTTTGTATGTGTCAGAGTCCCGGGCGGCCTCGATGGCGTAGTAGGCAGGAAAGACGCCCCTGGCCCCCGTCCTCATGTTGAGCCCCTCGTACCAGAAGTCTTCAGCCTGAACCTCCACAAACAGAGGATCATCCACCTCCAGCTCCAGCTCGTCGTCATGTCGAGGGACAAATCTGACACAGAGAGACACACACACACACACACACACAAATACACACACAGGGAGCGCATGTAAGGACCATCTGTCAAGATTAATTAGTCTTATATAACGCTTTCCCAGATGCTCAAAGTCACTTTACAGTTTAGCTTTAAAAGATTATTATTATTATGTTTATTAAGGACATCACAATCGCATTAGACAAGCCAGATGCATTGCTTTGAGTGTTTTAGCACAAGTGCTAGTTTTCAACACCTGTCCATATAAAAATATAAACTACATGCATAAAAACAGAAAGTACAAGACACATAAATTACATACAGATAAAATATATACAGTAGATTTTAGTGGATGCAGTTTTGACTGGAAACATACAATAACTTTAATTTCCTTTTAAATTTGTTGTAGTTGGTTTTCCAATTTTTAAATGAGCTGTTAAACCGTTCCACAGACTAGGCCCTTTAAAAGAGAACGAGGACTGACCCAGAGTTTGTCCTGTACCGAGGAACAACACAATTACCACTAGTAGCGCCTCTTGTGTTCGCTCTTTGTGAACATTTTATGGTCCTGGCAAATTCTGAGTGTAATGGTGTACTGCGGTTAAGACACTTAAAAAATAATTTAAGATTGTTAAAATTGATAAAATTTTCAAAGTTAAAAAGTTGATGTTTCTTTATAATTTCACAGTGGTGCCAGTTTTTGGGCTTTTTGTCAAAGATCTTAAGGGTCAGTTTGTATAATGAACAAAGCGGTTTTAATGTAGTTGAGGAGGCCTGGGACCATGAGGTGATACAATAAGATAGATGAGAGAAGATCATTGTGTTCATGAATATTTTAGAAGTGTGGAGCGACAGATCTTTACGTATGAAACGAAAGCAACTGAGACTAATCTTAATCTTCTTCACCAAGTATTTTGTGTGACCAGTAAATTTTAAATTTTCATTTAGAATGAGGCCAAGGTATTTAACTTCACTGACGGCTTGAATTTTCTCATTGTGCATAGTCACTTCAAAGTCAAAGTTTTTTGTTTGTGTACACACTGAAAAACAAAGAGAAACTGTTTTTTTCACATTCAAAGTCAGGTGTGACACACTAAGCCATTTTGAGACAAGTTGTAAGGCATGACTCAGGTGTGCACCAGCCTGAGCTGGTGTTTTTGAAAAATACATACAATACAGTGTCATCAGCATACATTTGAACATTAACAGTAGGACAGCATTGAGGGAGGTCATTAATATATAAGGAAAAAAGCAAGGGGCCAAGTACAGACCCCTGTGGCACCCCAAAGGGATTGGCTCGTTGTTGAGAAGTGACACCATTTACCCGAACACATTATTCACTTAATAGATAAACGTGGTTATCCGGGTAAGAATTAACACATGTTAGTTTAAGTTAACATGTAAAACTTACCTACAGACATTATTTATTTTACAGAAAAGGGCCTTGAGAATTATCAAACCCATTATTTGTTCAACTTAAAGTGTTGAAAATGCATGATATTGTTGATCCTCAAAGTCCTGTATAAAGCAAAGTGCCATGTGTAACCTGTAAATATTCAAAGATTGTTTGAGAAGAGAACAGGGCACTACAATTTAAAAGGAACCTACATGTTTAAAAAAAAAAAAAAAACTGATTCAGAACTAAGGTTATGGAGTGAAGCATCACTGTGAAAGGAGTTAAATTATGGAACAATCTTAGTCAAGGAGCCAAACTCTCAAAAGCTCAATAATTGAGGTTCTGGGGCTGTTGATCGCCAACTAGTAGTGAAATCATTTAAATGGCCACATTTTTTTTTCGCAATATTGCCAGCAGAGCAGAACCTCCAGTTATTGATCCTTAGGGTCAAAGTTAACCAAAAAAAAACAACCCAAAAAACACACAAATAAAATTATGGCAGACCATGTCAGGTTCAACTCATTTTTTAGAATTTGGGTCTGGACTATTGACAAAGATATAAAAGAATCAAGTACAATGATGGCATTTAAAAAACACAAAGTCCAGTGCCATGTGCATGTATGAAAAAGGAAACTTAGTTGTTGTGCATAATAGTGAAAATTTCTGTTTGCAATTGATTAATAATTGTGACTGAACTGAAATGTACTGATCTGAAATGTTTTAAAGTAAGTATCAGTGTTGATGTTTTGTCTGGAAAAGTGAAAAGAGGGCAGATTAAATAAGATGACTCTTCTTTCTGCTCCTTTTCTTTCATTTCTTGTATGTTTGCTGTTGTAACACTGTTAATTTTTTTTATAACTCATGCTGTCCTCGGGGTCACATTGACTTCAAAGAATTTTTTTTTTTCCTTTCCCGCTCTCTTGGGGCGGGTCAATCAGACCCAAAAATGTATTTTCTTGCCTGGCGAGAATTTATTTGAAAATAAAGTTTTGGGTCTGATAGACCTGCCCCAAGAGAGCGGGAAGGGAAAAAAAAATCTTCAGGTCTATGTGACCCCGAGGAGAGTGTGAGGGTTTTAATATATATTTTATGGATGAAATAAATAAACTTTCAAGAAGTGGCATGTTGTGAGCAGTTGAAAACATTTTTTAAAAATAATAACAATATATTATCATGCAAAAAATAGTAAAATAATTGAACTCCATGAAACTGGAGTACTGTGTGAGGCCACATGGGGGTGACTCATGCACAGATAAATTGCTTTGAGCTCACCCCACTCTGTTGAAACTCCAACATTACTGTGTGTTACAGAAAATATCACAGTGAACAATAACACTGAAACTACTGACTCAGTCTCCCTAAAGCAGGAGAATCCCAGAAAAACCTTAATGTGCAAAAGAATCACACTTTTATCACTGGAAAAAAAAAAATATATATATATATTGTGATGGCCCACGATATTATTGCGAGACTTTTGATGATACGATATCACGATATTTCTGTTATCGCTACATCTCTAATGTTTAGTCAGTTTCTTTAGGGTTTATCTTCAGAGTAATCATTTTTTTTGACATTTCCCAAACACAATTCCGTCTAAAGCTGCACCAAAATAGCTCACGCTGAAAACACGCTGCATTGTGGGAGTGTTGCGTTCGTCCCATGACATCTGAACGAGCCTCATTATCCTCCGTACTTGAGTTCTGCGCTCGCCTGTTACTATGGAAACATGCAAATGACATGAGCTGTGAGAGCAACTGTGAAGACACGCAGGCTCCAGTGTGCACGGGAGATTAGAGAGATTTCACAGATACAATCATGCACTTCATAATCTTAAATAGACACAGTATGCACCTACAGGCTGGAGGATCGTGCCTGGCAACCTCACTGTCCACTACATCCTGTCCAATTTCCTCTCTACGTGTTTATAAACCATTTTTCTAACCCTGAATTTAAACGCCCTGTATCTGATTTTCTTCACGTGTATTTGAGCTAAATTAATTATAAAGATATACTGTATAAGCAGCTCTTGAGGTCAAAATAATGTTGTTTCTTCATCACAAACAGATCTGGAGTTGTGTTTTGTTTCATTCAAACATGTTCAACACACAAACCCTGCAGATTCTGGCTGAGTTTGTTTCTCACACGGAAGGAAAACTCTCTGTTCCACCTTGTGATGTCATGTGGTAATAATACGGGAGTGCACCTAAGTCTGTGGAATAGAAGCATCAAGAATTTCGGACTTTTGGTCATTGCGCAATTCATACTGGGAAGGATTTTCCGAAAAAGTGAGCATCAAACCGTCATGTTTGTTTTCCCAGTGGGATGCGTCTATTGACAAATCGATCTTTTCAAGTCTTTTGAACCATATCACTTTTGTTTCTGGTTCTGATATTGTCATATTTTAGTTTTGGGATTCGGACATCATTAATTGTTTGGTTGTTGGATCCTAACAGCGGAAAACGGCTTGAGAAATTTGTTTGTGAACTCCATAAATGCAAAAAGGAATCAGATCTGTGTGACTGCAAACCTCTGTTCAAACTGTTTCCCTTCCCAACGGAATTGAAAAATAGTGAAAGGTGAAGGCGATGGGCAGGATTGATCCACAGGAGAGACGAAAAAAAGAGCCCCATCAAAGCGGGATCCCGTTTGTTAAGTGAGAAGTACAGAAGACAAACAGACTGAGCTGCACTTTCTTGTTCTTGTGGTTTTACAGCAACATCACGTCTTGGTCTCTTTGCAGTGGAAGGTGTTTCTTGGTGAACAGTTGGTGCCTTTCGTTTTGGCGTTGACTTTTTAAATTCGTAACCGAGGTGGAGTGAAGGATCGGGGTTTTGCTTTGATGGCTCCACATACAAAATGTTCACTGTAAACTCGGGATGATTTAGTCAGTCAAAGGTTTCATTTTTCGTCATTTTTCGTCCTTCCTGTGGATCAATCCTGCCCATCACCTTCACCTTTCACTATTTTTCAATTCCGTTGGGAAGAGAAACAGTTTGAACGGAGGTTTGCAGTCACACACATCTGATTCCCTTTTGCAGTTATGGAGTTCGCAAACACATTTCTCAAGCAGTTTTCCGCTGTTTGGATCCAACAACCACACAATTACGATGTCTGAATCCCAAAACTAAAATATGACAATATCAGAACCAGAAACAAAAGCGATATGGTTCAAAAGACTTGAAAAGATCGACTTTGACAATAGACGCATCCCACTGGGAAAACAAACACGGCGTTTTGATGCTCACTTTTTCAGAAAATCCATCCCAGTATGCATTGCGCAATGACCGGAAGTCAGAAATTCTTGATGCGTGTATTAATTGAATTTCGATTTGTGTGTCAAACGATCTCCAAACTCATATAATCAAGTTGAAACGTTAACCTTAACAAAGTGGATATAGAGTTTATTTTGGATACATTTATGTTTTTCTTTGCCTTATTTCATGTTCAAAGTTTATTTTATTAATTTTATGTTTTATACATCACAAAACTGCTCTAAAGTACATATGTGTAGCCTAAATTTATTTTCAATTTGAAAAAGTGTTTTTTTTTTTTAGAGAGAAATACTGAATAAATGTGTAAAAAAAAAAAAAACATGATATACTATAAGTGATTTCAGTATTGACCAAAATAACTGTCATAATGATTTTTTTCCATAATTGAGCAGCTTTAAGTGCACCACTGTGTTTTTAAACTCCACACATCTTCACTAGAATCATTTGGATAATTTCATCACGTATCATGCTTTAGAAAATAAAAAAAATGTAAGGTTATGCTCACTCGCATCGCACCACATGACATTTTTTATAGTCGTAGCCAATTCATGTACACAAAAAAACACTAAAAATGCTTAATAGAAATGTTAAACATAGATTTACGCACACATGACATTGTAAATATTTGAAAAAAGTTCAATCGAAAGTAATATTTTTTTTTATATTTTTAAATTTGCCTGTATGTCATTGACCCATATATTAACAAAAAGGAAATAGAAAATTCTTGTTGCATTATTACCAAGTATCCAGTGTATTCATCCATCTGTAGTGTGTCTCCATGAAACTGCTAAACACAGACTCTTGCTGCTCGTGTTGTCGGCCCATTATCTCTGTGTGTGTTAAATGATCCTCACCTGTACACGGCTCTGTGCGTCTGCTCCCGCTCCTCTCCGTCAATCACACACGAAAACAGACCGAACGACTCTGCACCTGCACACAGCACACAAGAACAACACAAAATCAATAAAACTAAAATATCTGGACTTAAAATCAGGATTATAACAGGGATGACAATGTAATGGATGCTATAAAATCCAAAAATATATACGAGCATTTATCTGTGTAAACAAGATTGTAACGATTTAACTTTTTCAGGTGGAGGATCTGTCAGCTGTTTGTCTCCATGGAGATGCTGTTGCTTTGTTGGGAATGTTTCACAGTATGGCATTAAACATAATCAGGTCAGATCTGCAGAGAGGCGAGCCTGCTCACTGCTAAGAATTGATGTTTCGAGGTATTTTTGAGCTATAAAAATCACAAAAAATACTTGTAACTGAATTAATACAAGATAAACAAATGAATGCCATATTGTGGGATATTCTAGGCAAAGCAATTTCATCTCCATGGAGACAAGCATGTGGCCATATCAGGTTGTGAAAGCCTGATCTTGTTATATCTCTGAACTGGTTAGTATTTGGATGGGAGACTGTTGTGAATACCAGGAGCCACATGGGGGCGCTGGTGGCAAAAAGTCACTGTCATTGTGTTGTTATTATTCATAGATCTTTTCACAATGGCCGGGAGTGTCCTGCTGTAGGTTTGTGGGACTGGTTTTCTGAAGAAGTGGCGTTTACCCTACATTGCGGCATTTCCGTCCTTGCTGTGGGTGTCTAGAAAGGTGCTAAATAAATCCAAAAGCAGGTGATGGATCCTCCACAAGTTACATACCGAGTCCGGTCAAGTGATAACGGAGGGAAACAGGGGCAGATTTTTGACATTCAAATATCTCTTATTCAGAAACTAGAGGGACTATTGAAATAAGTAAAGTATCAGAATGTAGGAAAGAGTTACACTCCAACAGGGTCAAGTTAAACCTGTGATATTCTTTCAAGTTGTTGACAAAAAATTTAAAAACTCATGTCGGTAACGGAGGGAATGAAATATGCAGCACTTTTTGGGCAATAAATCCAAACAGTGATAACTCTTGGTTCTCACTTACATATCCTTAACAAACTGGTTTGAATATTTGCTTCATATAGTTTTCTACCATATGGTACAAGATTAGGTTGAAAAACCTCTTACTTTTTGAGTCATGAGATTTTTTATTAATAAAGGTCATGGTAACGGAGGGAAAAGTAACGGAGGGAAAATTGTGCAGCAAGTAGAAGGTGCAGGATTTTACATAATTTGTCACTTTTTTCTTCCGAATACTTTAATATTACTTCAAAATGAAAGGAAACTATTTCTATAAAATATGTCAGTCCTTCCAAGCAAATTTTTATCATTTTAAATACAGTTTTTTTGAAAAATCATGAACCTTCATCAACAGTTCAAAGATGGAATAACACAAGATATGATGAAATACATCCATTTATTTACATGATTTTCAGGTCTTTGAAATTTGGGAAATAATTTTTGTTCCATGTTTCATACATGGTCTGTTTAAAAATGTATGTAACTTTAGAACCAAAAATGGTACAGAAAAAAGGTCAACAGTTTCATAAACTAGAGTACATATGTATCTGTTCAATACATTTTTATATCAGATGCATTAACTTGAATTTTTGGCCTTGTTGTTTACTTCTGCTTGACCGGGCCCATAGAAATAAGTCTAAAGGTGCACTATTTCAGAACAGTTTCTTTATTTCAACCAAAGTTATTGTAGTGTAAATGAGGTAAACACATGTTGTAACTCCACCCAAAAGCTTTGAGTTAATTCAGAACAGAACTGGGAGATTCTGCCTGAAAATAAAACTGTCAATTTTCTTTTCTCCCAAACTTTTACTTTTAATTATTCAGTACATGAACCCAGTTTTTTTTTTTTTTTGCTGTTGGTAAGTGTTGGTGGTAGATTTCAGCTCCTTTTGACAGAATCTAATGCAGAGAGACAGAATGAGACCAGAGCCCAGCTGGGACCCACTCTCAGCCCACTGGAGACCAATTTACACTGACACAGCCCAACCTGAAGAACAACATGCTAAAGAGAGCGGCCCACGTTACATAACATGACGGAAGGTGCACTGCGTAACTTTTCTAGAGGCTCCTTCACCTGCGTGTTTCTGTAATGTTCGACAGTGTGACATTAAACAGCTCTACTTTACATTTATTCAATTACAGGTGGTTTTACAACTCAGAAATACAGAGAAAAACACATTCTGTCTGTGAGCGGGGTCGCCTCTCCACAGATCTGTTATTGTTTTGCAAGTCTTAAGTAAGTCTCAAGTCTTTGACCTTAAGTCTGAGTCAAGTCCCAAGTCAAATACAGGCAAGTCCAAGTCGAGTCTTGAGTCACTGGCCCGTAAGTCCAAGTCAAGTCCAAGTCGTCTGCTTTGAGCTTCAAGTCATTTCAAGTCTTTAAACCAAAGTACCAAATATAGCTTAGATTTTTGCAATTTATATGAATTTTAAACTAAATTGTACAAAAAAATCATAGTATATTTACATATGAGTATTTATAGAGTTTATAAAAGTTGTAGAAATGTAAATGTTTTCTTTTTAAATGTTTTGACAAGATCTTAGTGTGAATCATTGGTCATCAGAAAAGTTACACAGTGAGCTTTAAAGGTGTATTTTCTGATCTACTGTATGTTCTAATGTTGTTTCCTTGTCAAAAAACAAGGACTTGTGTTTTGTTTCATCCACACAAGTTTAATGCGCAAATCCCGCGTATTTAGGCTCTCAGAAAACCCTCCGTTCCCCCTTGTGATGTCACGTGGTAAAACAGAAAGTGCTCCACTGTGTTTTTAAACTCCATACACCTTCATTTAGGGTTGTAAAGGTACATGTAGTTTTTTTTTTTTCAGTGGTTTTACTTCAGTTCAATCACAGTTCTCAGGATCTTTCTCAGAACATTTGACAGAGCTCTCATTCACAAACACACGATCATTGAATTCAGCTTCTTTTTTCAATGCTGGAGGCCTGTTCTCATACGATAAAAGACTTTGGACCAAACTCTGTTCACACAGGTTTGAATACCGTATTTTTCGGACTATAAGGCGCATCAGATTATAAGACAGTAATGTTGAATTCTCTCGTCTATTTTCATACATAAGTTGCACCGAATTATAAGACGCATTAAGCAAAACAAACGGACGACGCTTGAGACTGATCCCTTAGTCCAGGCGTCCAAAATCCATCGGCAGATCGTGGCATAATTCGCCCGATGTTTTATGAATGTGAATGTGGGTGGATCATTTAAGTTTGTTTTTTATTTCCTACGAGGACGACTCAAATATACACTGAGTAATAATGTGTTAATGCAGCTTTGCACATTTGTTTACGTTTTACAGAAATGAAACTTAAAACCACATGACTAAATTGCATAAACTACGCTCGAGGTCTGTCCTCATGTGTTAAAAGACTTTGGACCAACTCTGTTCAAACGTTTGAGTACTGTATTTTTCAGACTATAAGGTGCAATATCAATAATGTTGAATTCTTTCGTGTATTTTTATACATAAGACGCACTGGATTATAAAACGCATTAAGTGAAACTAACGGACGACACTTGACACTGATCCATTAGCCCAGGTATCCATTCAGTAACTCGGCCGGCATTGCCTCCCTTTCTTGGTGAATGTTTAAGTTTGTTTTTTTATTTCCTACGAGAATACATGTATTCATGCCGAACTGTTTCGTTACGGGGCGTTCGGTTCACTGCACGACTGCGCATGAGTGAGTTCGCACAATTTGTCTGTGTTTACATTCTGCCACTACATGTGCAGCTACAAGGAAGGCTCGGCTCTTCATCCAGGAACTGTTAGTGCTGCGCTGTACTTTTTGAAAAGTTTTGTTTACTGTTTACAAGAAATTAGTTTTTGATAATATTTCATATATTTGTTGCTTATTTGTAACACTTTATTTTGTGACTGTGTTCTATGCGTGTTTATTGATGATGCGGCTGAGTGACATGTGAAATGTGGGACCAGCCTCTCAAATCTACAAAACAAATTTACCTACGGGTACGAATAAAGCAATCTAACCTGTTTGAGAATATTTTATTTAACTTATTAGTATTACCAAGCAGCACTTTGCATTTATTTAATTTTACCCTTTGTATAATGTTAAAACAAACTGTTTAATAAAAACTAAAATAAACAAGCAAATTATTTTCCATTTTGTTCCCATGCTGTGCCGAAAATGAACCGAACCGTGACCTCAAACCCGAGGTACGGACCAAACCATGGTTTTATGTATTGTTACACCCCATCATCAGTACAATCATTTGGATAAATTCAGACCTGAGATTACAAATCTCTACTGAACAAAATGTAAAAGGAGCTGCTAACTTGAAAACTACAACTTCATGACATCACAAGGTGGAACAGCATTTTGAGCTTTGGAATGTAGACAGACTAACAAACCAGGATTACTCAAACATGTGTGAATGAAACAAAACACAACTCCAGGTCTGTTTTTGAGGAGGTAACAATTTTATAACATGACTTAAAGCTCACAAGAGTCAGTTTTGCATAATACAGAACCTTTAACTCACGGGTGTCAAACATACGGCCCGGGGGCTGGATCCGGCCCTTCAAGACCTTTAATCTGGCCCTCGGCTGATTTTCTACTAAAATATTTTAATTATATTTTCTATTAAAATATTGGTAATTTTCTGTGGTGTTTATCATATCAGCGTCTCCAGCGTCTCTGTACGTGGCCCCTCCCACCAGAGCAGCACAAATGAAGACTTGTCTCTTTCCAAACGCTCTAAAAGGACGATCGTTTTGACTGTTGACCGTGACACCCTCATCAGAAAAATGTCAAAAATGAGAAAAGTGGAGCTGAGTGCAGGATTTTACAAGAAAAATTGACTTATTCCTATTTGCGTACAAGTTCATGTTAAAATATTGTGTTGAAACTGCATTTTTGTTAAAGTTTCAGGTTGTTCATGATATTATAATATTTTGTAAAAGAAAGAGTTCATCAATTAAAAAAGATTTCTGTAATAGATTTGCGTTTCTCTGCACAAATATTTTAACTTATTGCTATTTAGGCCATGAGTTTTCTGATCCGGCCCCTTTAGGATCAGAGTAGGTTGGATACGGCCCCCGGACCAAAATGAGCTTCACACCCCTGCTTTAACTGATCCAAACGTTCGTGCTACTTACTGGAGGAGCTCGATCTTCCGTTGAGGAACACATTCAGGAACTTTTTGGAGAAGTGCAGATCTCCGTCGGTGGAGGAGTCGTCGGACAAACAGGCGGTCCCTTCTCTAATGACTCCGCCCATCTGCGCGCTGTCCACCTCCTCGTCCTCGTCTTCGTACTCCTCGCCGAGCGCCGACTCGTACGGCGAAGAAACGCAATTATCGTAAACCGTCGCCGAATCGCTGTCGTCGCTGTAGCCCTGGTAGCACTGCCGCAAGCTCACGAGTTCCAGCTGCGCGTGTTCGTCCACCACTAGGGTGTATTTCACGGAATCGTACGTCAGCCCGCTCGCCTCGGGGCTCATGGAAGTCCTTAGCGACGCCGATAACGCCTGTTGCTCCTTGCTTTTCCGTCTGCCTTCCATCATGATTCTATCTACATCTTCGTCTTCTCCGCAGTAGCTGTCGTCGGTAGCGTCGACGTATTCCACGGACGATCCGACTCTGAACGCTCCGAGTCCAGACGTTTTCAAGCTTAAATCCAACGCGATGGAGGATCCGTGCGGCGGGGTTATTAGCGATTCCACACAGGAGGCGTAGGAAGGAGGGGGAATGTAGATCTCGTCCTCTTCGAAAATGCACTGGTCCGTTCTGTCCGGCAGAGGCTGGTAAGGCGGGGGTCCCTCCGTGTCCGAGCTTATAGACATGCGTCCCTGCTCGGTTTGTTGGGAGAGAAACGGCCGGTCCGGAGCGGCGGTGGCGGAGTCGAGGGCCCCGGACGAAGAGCGCTGGACCGGGGTCAGGTATATCTCCTCCGTGGGTTCGGCGCGTGGAGGTTCGGTGGAGGTTTTGTTGGTCGGGTAGAGCGGGGCGGGGGTGTAGTTTTGGGGCGGGGAGGAGGGGCGGGGGGTTTGTCTTTGGAGCGAGCGGAGGAGCAGGAGGAGGAGTGCGAGGTGTGGTTGTGCCTGCAGGGGGCGTCGGTGGAGGTGCCTCTGTCTTTGGTCTGAGCCGACTGGACTTTATCCTCGTCGCTCAGACAGCTGTGCTCTCGAGGCGGAGTCCGCTCACCTGGAACAACAAAAAAAAAGGAGCAAAAACACGATTAGAATCCAAAAAAAAAGTTGGCTGATTTGGCTGAAAAAATTCTAAAAATTAAAAAAATTATCAAATGAAAAAATCTAAAATTTTAGCTCAATCCCTTCATTCTCCTTCTGTCGTTCCTGAGTTATGGCCTGTTGAAATTTTGGGTCCATGCCCACTTTTTCAGAAACCTTAATTTATAAGCATTTTTGAAAGACCATAACTTCATAAAAAAATTGAGCTAGGAAGCTAAAAATGTGTATTATTATAGATTTTAGTCATAAATGATAAATCTGTTGTCAAATATTAGGTATCTTAAATGGGGAGCTGTGGGACCCCAAAATCTAAAGAATTGTTTGCTGCTTTTTTTTTTTTTTTTTCTTTTTTTTTTTTTTTTTGAGGTCCCAGATTCATTTACTCCAAGCAGATATTTACAAACTAACTGCAGAACCTGAATATTTGAGAGAATGACCATTTCTGACAACAATCTCACACTATTCTGAGCTTTCATGTGGATGGTGTAGAGTCCCAAACATGGACACAGACCAAATGTGATCTTCTTGGCCCCTTCTTTGGCCCCTTGATTCCCCACGTGGGCACAGATGGATGTTGATAAAATTTTTACCAGAGAAACTTTAGCATTGTTTATTTCAAACAAAATTTTTGAAAATGAGTCTCATGGGTCATTTTTGGTGGAACTTAGGTACTTTTCCACCTGCTAGCAAGTTTTAATTACCCCTTTAATCGCCTTAAACTCTAACTGTTTGTTATAAGGGAAGACAAGTGGAGATTATTTGTAGTTCGTAGGGGAGATTCCATGAAAACAGCTGATTTCTTATGGACAGACCCTCATATTCTTGTGAAACACAGCATTTTATGTTTTGAAAACCTGATAATGTAAAATGTTTGTCTGCTGTTTAAAATCCAAGGAATACGGGTTTAACCAGATTTTTATTTTTTTCCATATATTGGAGGAATAGTTGTCTTGCCCCAGTACAAATGTATTGTATAATCAGCTTTTGAACTCAAAATACGTCTTCCTGCAAGGCAGGAAGTTTTTGTTAACTTTACTGTCACAGCAAAACTCTGAGAGCTGAGAAAAGTACTAAACTTCTCAGGAAATAGCAGGATGTTCAGAATGCATAAGGTAAGTGAGGAATAACTGGACCACTGCAAACAGTTTAAAACAGCTCAGACAGTTCAGAAAAGTTACTTTTTAAAAAAAAGTTACATGCCATAATTAAAAGTCAGTGTTGTGTCTGTTCAGTTTTGAATCAAATCAGTGTCAATGGCTGAAAAAAACGAGGCACTGAAAAAGTACAAAATAATTAAAAGTGTTTAATAGCACATGACAAATGAAGTTAAAATCAATCATTTTGATGTTATTTTAACTTGATCTGCCTTGTGGTATTAAAGCCTTTTATTATTTTGTACTTTTTGAGTGCCTCGGCTTTCTCAGCTTTGTATTTGAGCCTGGTCCCTGCATTTAAGTATCCTGATTCATCAGCCGGTTTCACTTCACAGAAACCGTCTGACCTCGACCGTAGGTGGGTACTTTTTATCATTTAACCAATCACTGCTTTTTGGTCGTGACGTATGTATCGCGCCGCTATTGGGGCTACGTGGTATATTAAGCTTTTCCCAGATCCCGTAGGAAGAAGGGCAATAACGTCTTTCCCATTGATAAAATTCACCAAACATTCTCTTTGTTCCGGCTTTAAATCCTCAATCTCGGGAATCGTTGACAACACAGAATGTATGGCTCATTGCTGACTGGCTGGTGCTCAAACTTGCACTTCTGGGGTTTTTGCAAACTGTATAGTGTATTTTGATCCCTGACCTAGTCACTGGAGAGAAATGAAACTGAGCGGAGGCACTTGGTGGCACCGGCCTGGTTAATCCTGACCAGTTTGGCACAATCTCTGTACATCCAAGTAGCTCTCCTGCCCATTAAAGTTGCAGTGTCAATGCCTGCTCAAATTAGCTCATTTAGAGTGTGGATTCTTTGGCCCTGGCTTACTAAAGAAGGCCAACTACACTGCTATGTATTTAAATGTGAACCATTCTCAGTAATATGAAACCTCTCTCTTTGAACAGCGCAGCACCTATAGCAGCTCAGCCTATAGTTCCTCACGTCCACGGCCCAGAGCAGCCCTGTCTGTGTCTGTACACTCGCAGTATTCAGACGTTAGTACACTTCTCCCCTCAGGTTCGAAGGCCCATGTCACTACACTGATCTGTGAATGTGAGACAGAAGAGCCCACAGCACTGAGACATACACTGAGTCAGGATTACATAACTCTGGCTTTGACGCAACGCTGGATGATATTATGCCTTTTGTTGCCTTTGTTCAGTGTTGGGAAGGTGACTTTTAAAATGTATTCCCCTACAGATTACAGATTACACACCCCAAAATGTAGTTTGTAACGTAATCCATTAAATTACTTAAAGTGAGTAACGTAATCTGAATACTTTGGATTACTTGATTTTCTGTAGAGAAGCAAAGACGAGGAAATCTTCACATAAGATATTTGTCTGCTAAAAGAAAATAAAAAGCCCAGACTTTACTGAGCCAAATTAAAAATATTATTGATAGAAGAAGAGGAGACACAGTCAGTCATGGTTTAGTCCTGTTAAATCCTGTTTTAGTCCTGGTTTTAGTCCTGGTTTAGTCCTGGTTTAGACCTGGATTTAGACCTGGTTTAGACATGGTTTGGACCTGGTTTAGTCCTGAATTAGTCCTAGTTTAGACCTAGTTTAGACCTGGTTTTAGACCTGGTTTAGTCCTGGTTTAGTCCTGGTTTAGTCCTGGTTTAGTCCTGATTTAGTCCTAGTTCAGACCTATTAGACCTGGTCTTAGACCTGGTTTAGACCTGGTTTAGTCCCGGTTTAGTCCCGGTTTAGTCCTGATTCAGTCCTAGTTTAGACCTGGTTTTAGACCCGGTTTAGTGTCTGGCAAAGAGTGGAATTACCGAAAAAAAAAAGACGATATAGCCCAAAATATGAAAACAGGAAAATACCACTGTGTAATCCATGTATTTCAACCAAGTAACTGTAATCTAATTACCACTCACTTAAACAGTAACTGTAACTGAATACAGTTACTCATAATTTGTACTCTGATTACATAACTCCGGTACATGTAATCTGTTACTCTCCAACACTGCCTTTGTTGCAGACTGCTCGGCCTTATGTAAAAACGTTAACATTTCATTTTATTTCAGTATTTTAAGATTGATATAAACGACAAGGGTGTTTTGTTAAACCATCAAACACTGCAGAGTAAAGTGGAATTAATTATAAACTGATCCGTCCTTAAACCTAGTGAAAAAGTAAAACAAAAAAAGATTTAAAAAGGTCCATATTACACTATTTTCCGATCTATTTTATAATGTTTCTTCATCACAAACAGCCCTAGAGTGGTGTTTTGTTTCATTCACCCATGTTTAACACACAAACCTGCAGATTTAGGCTGAGTTCTGTTGTTTGTGGTGATACAGGAAGTGCTTCACTGTGTTTTTAAAGTCCATACACCTTCACTAGAATCGTTTGGATCATTTGCAAGCCTGGAATTGCCGATCCCTACTGAACTAAAGGTAAAAGGAGTTGTTAAGTTGTTTTTTTTTTCAGTGGTTTTACTTCAGTTCAATCACAGTTCTCAGGATCTTTCTCAGAACATTTGACAGAGCTCTCATTCACAAACACACGATCATTGAATTCAGCTTCTTTTTTCAATGCTGGAGTCCTGTTCTCACACGATAAAAGACTTTGGACCAAACTCTGTTAACACGTTTGAGTACCGTATTTTTCAGACTATAAGGTGCAATATCAATAACGTTGAATTCTCTCGTCTGTTTTCATACATAAGGCGCACCGGATTATAAGGCGCATTAAGCAAAACAAACGGACGACACTTGAAACTGATCCCTTAGTCCAGGCGTCCATGATCCATTGGCAGATCGTGGCGTAATTTGCCCGGCGTTTTATGAATGTGAATGTGGGTGGATCATTTAAGTTCGTTTTTTTTTTATTTCCTACGAGAAGGACTCAAATATACACTGAGTAAAAACATGTTTAAAGCAGCTTTGCGCACATTTGTTTGCGTTTTACAGAAACGAAACTTAAAACCACGTGACTAATTTGCATAAACTATAAGCACTGAAAAAAACAGTTTGCTTCTTGTGAGCTGATGTGGTTCAGCTTCTGTCGGACTAAAGGACACAACTCACTTACTCCGCAAGACTCGCCGTAATGCTCCGACAATCCAACACCGGTGCATCTTCGTAGTTTACCAAAGTCTTACTAAAACATTTTGACAGATTTTTGAGCGCCGTGTACCACATAAAATCAGTTTGAGGTCAGTAAACACAACCAGAATTAATACATAAGGCGCACTGTCGATTTTTGAGAAACTTGAAGGATTTTAAGTGCACCTTATAGTCCCAAAAATACGGTAACATTTTATTATTAATCTGTCTACATCTCCAAAGCTCAAAATGCTCTTTTCTACCTTGTGATGTTACAAAGTAGTAGTTCTCAAATTCACAGCTCCTTTTACCTTTTATTCAGTAGAGATTGGCAATCCCAGGGCTAAAATTGTCCAAATGATTCTAGTGAAGGTGTGTGGAGTTTAAAAACACAATGGAACACTCCCTGTATTACCACATGACGTCACAAGGAGTGTTTTCAGTTTGACAAATGAGCTCTAAAGTCTAAATACGCACGGTGTGAATGAAACAAACAAAACTCCAAGTGTGTTTTTGAGGAGGAAACAATACTACAAATAAAACAGGTCAGAAAATAGCGTAATACGAGATCTTTAAACTTCACATTTTACAAAAAACAAGTCAGACTCACCGGTTTTCTGTGGAGACGACCCAGACACCTTCTCCTGCCAACTGAACTTCTTTCCAAAGGAGTTATTGTTCAGAGTGTCCTACAGGAAGTGCACAAAGAGGAAGAGACGGTTTTAAATATCAGCAAACTCGTGAAAAAAGTTATAAATACACCCTGAAAGCATGCGGGAAGAGTAGTCTGAACAGAGACCGGACCAGGGCCTGATCCCCCTCAGTGAGACAGACAGGGGCGGACTGAGCTGAGCCTGAGCCCTCTTTTCACACGAGCGAGCACAGGCTTTTGTCTCAGTCGTGACAAGAATTTAAAGGGAACGGGAACTTTTCAGACTCAGTCACCTCACACAGAGAAGGATAGAACGTGAAAAAGTACGTACGAATTTGACAAATGAGAGGTTTTAAATAGTCTGGGAACTAACACGGATCAGCAACCAGTGAAGTTATAAAAAGAAAAGAAACTTTTCAGCATGTTGTAAGAGAAAATATTATGGAACATTGTTAGTGTATTTAATCTTGTACGATTTAACTTTGAATACGTTTCCAAAAATAGTGAAAAGTTAGGACATTATTGTTACTTAAAGCTACCAATTTGTACCGTATTTTTTGGACTATAAGTTACACTTTTTTTTCATAGTTTTGGATTTACTTCGGTGTGACTTATATATTAAAATTTTCACACTGACAGCCACAAGAGGGCGCTCTAGTCTTGTGTGTGAGTATCTGCTGCTCCTGTTCCTCCTGTACCACTGTCACTTTACTCTACTGCTCATGTCTCCTGCAGAAAGAGCCTCTGTCCTGTCTGAATCGTGTCAGTCGATCGCACCGTTACTTCTGCACCACTGAAAACGTAACATTTAAACAAACATAAAGACGACTGATCCTATTTTGCAGATTACAAGCTGTAAGTAGTGAAATCTGCAGCCGAAAACTGTAATCAAGCAGCAGAAAGAAAGTTTGGAGTGAGCGAGAAACTTGTGACGACCTGGAGGATGCACCATGAAACTTTCCTGAAGTCACTGGATGGATGGACAAAGCCTGAACTTCATTGACACCAAAACCATCCTGTCGGGATTCAGAAAGGCCGGAATAATTCTAACTGGAACTGATGCTGAGTCTGACGACAGCGACACAGAAGAGGAAGCGGCGCTCTGTTTACCTCCGGAGGTCGCGGAGTTGCTCAGAAGTGACACCGAGGATGAAGAATTGAATGGATTTAGTGATTTGGAGTGAGATGGAGAGTTTGTTAAACTTGTTCTGTTCTGTTGTTTTTATGTTATAGTTTATCTGAAGAACTGTTCATATGTGACGTTAACAGTCTGTTGTTCTCTGTTCTGTTGTTTTTATTAGAACTTGACTTTTAAGATGAAATGTTGGTTCCTGGTCTCTGATTTTATAAAATAAATTTCCCCCAAAAAGTGTGACTTATACATGTTTTTTTCGTCTTCATTACGCATTTTTTGGTTGGTGCGATTTATACTCTGGAGCGACTTATAGTTCAGAAAATACGGTAGTAAGATTTAACACAGAAATTGGTGTAAATATATGTTTCCAAAAATAGCAAAAAGGTAGGACATTACTGTTTATTAAAGCTACCAATTGTATTTAGACTGACCGACCCGCCTCTGCTGTATTTTCTTACTATCTGTATTTTTTTACTATCTACATTCTGTATGATATTGTGCCAGTTTTGTTCTGATCAGAGATGAAGTTTGGTTTGTTTGTTTTTTTGCCTCTGCCATCTACTGGTGACAAAAAAAACAAACCTGACACAAACAGATGGTAGCTTTAATCTCTTAAATCTGAAAACGTATGTTACAACCCAGCTCTGCTACGGACAGGGGAAGTAACAAAGAACCAAGACGTAAAATGGTAAAACTAAAGTTATAATCGAGTTAAACACAATTTAAGGTAACTAACAAAAAGAGGATATTTACCAGGATTGGCAAGGTTCTCAACAGAATAGTGAAATGTATAACCAAAAAAGATAAAGCTGACAGAAATAAAAGGTACAAATTATATCACACACACACACACACACAAAGACCAAACCAGTCTCTTAAAGGTTGTATAGAAGATTTTCCAAGGAAAGAGAAATGTCCTTTTTTAAATGTTGCGCTTCGCACCTTTTCCCCTTCTCTTCTTCTTTTAGCAACGTCAAAAACTGACTTTCTTTTGTGGCTAACCGGTCGTGAATTCTTCTCAGCCATTAAAACAAAATTTGTGCAAACTGAGAGCTACAGTTCAAAAAAGATGCCAAGAACCGCTAAACATGAACCGCGAACATAAACCACACAATCCCAGCCCGTCGGCAAGTCAGCGACGCTAGAAAAGTAGGGAATTTGATTGACAACCTAACAGCCAATAGATAAAGAGGTAGCCTTGTTTTCTATTGGCTGATGTTTATCTGCCCTCACTACATCCACACTTGATAGATTTTTCTTTTCTTTTTTTTTTTTTTTTTTGGTCATCATGATTACAAGGCTGCTTCTTCTTTATAATTCTATTTTTAACTTTCATTGACAATTTGAAAAAAATATTTAAAAAAATCCTCCATACAACCTTTAAACCTAAGTCATAAAGGACTACTAGTGTCTCCAAGATCACAAAGGGTACACAAAACTACAAAGGTTTCTTCCTGTTTTGTGACGTAAGCGTGAATAGAGCCTATTGGAAAATGTCAAAAGAAAATTCTGAATGGAGTGAAGACTTTTGTAGAGACAGTCAGTTGCTTATCAGAAGTTAAATGCGAGGAGGAAATACTAGAGACCTTTCTCCAGATCTTCAGCTTGGATCTTGGTCAGTAATACCAAAATTTCAACTTTCAAGGATTGATTTACTGTGCATGTTTTAGGTCGATGGGGGAAATCTGGAGTACCGAGAGAATAAGGTCGTCAAAAATATAAAAAATCAGAATCGATACTACAATTAGAATCGAAACTAGATACTCATTTGAGCAGGTCTCGATACCAAAAAGTCACATTCACAGGACAGAAATCAATCTTTAAAATGAAGAAAAGATCTTTTTTTTTATTACAGGTTCCCACTCATTTTCACTGACAAAATTTCTAAACATTTCCATGACTTTCTTATGACCTAAAGTGAGTTTTCCGCTTTACGGCACCTACATGTGTAGAATTGATCAGACTTTTAGGGCTAAATATGAAATGTTAACCATTCCACTCACCTTATGGTTTGGTATTATATATTTTTTTAACATTCAAAATCCTGTCAGTGCATTTATTGTTGTCTCTTTTAAATAAACGTTCAGAAATAATCATAATAGCCTCATGATAACTTAACAAAACACTGTAGTTGTGTGAAAGAGATACTAAAATTCCATGACTTTTCCAGGATTTCCATGACGTAGCAATTCTGTTTTTATAATTATGGTATCGGAATCAGTATAAATCAAGTTTGAAATTTTAGTATCGTGACAAAAATACAAAAGAAGTCCAATAAGACAGAGGAAGAACATGCAAACTTCACCAATAAAACCACCTCCTCGTGTTTTATTTTTACTCAGTTCGAGCTCAAACCCACTCGCTCACTAAATCTGGCACCGCTCGTCCTTAGAGGAGAGACAGAAGGAGGAGGAGGAGGAGGAAGAGGAAACTCCAGTGACGAAGATGGATTGAAAATAACGATGAGTCATGATGTGCGTGAGCGTCGCCATGGAAACACACTGACTCACAGCATCGCGGGGAGGGCGGTGCATTGTGGGTAAACAAACGCCCGGTCACAGCGTATGACGGGTCTGTGGTGTTAAACTCGAGAAAGGGGAATTCAGATTACTACTGTTTGTGTTTGTTTATTGTGTATGCAGATTTTGACCCACTGACCTGCAGACGAAAAAAAAAACCTCTTTACTTTATTTAGACAACAGAAAAGAATGTGATTTTCTACATTAAATCATTACTTTGTTTTATTTTATATCAGCGTAATCCTACGAGTCTTTGTGCTCTTATACTTGTTCTGATACAGCTCAAAATCACAAAGGTTTCTGCTCATTTCTCTCCTGTGCTTATGATTTTTTTTTAGTATTAACACCGGCACAAACACATTTTTAGGAGCCTGTGATCCATATAAGCATTCATGGTCCTGTTCAGGTGTTTGATTTTCAACAAAAAATGTACTCTTGTGAGCCTTAAGAAGCCTTGTATCATTCGTTCATTTGTTTTTCAAAATAAAACGAAAAATAAGAAAACGAAAAAACAGCTATCTGGTCGTCGAGGCCCCGCCTTTGACTGCCGCCAAGATCTCTGCACCGGCCCCATATGGATCCTCCCGCGGGTGGTGGGCCCACAGAAGGGCCACCAGGCGCTTGCCGTCGAGCACCCCCCCCAGGCCTGAGTCCAGGGTGTGGGCCCGATAACGCCATTCTGGGCGACATAACTGGGCTCTGATTACCTGGGGGCCTCTAAGCGGAAGGAGGCCCCAGGGAAGACCAAGGACACGCTGGAGGGACTATGTCTCTCGGGGGGTCTGGGAACGCCAGGAGGAAGTGTCTGGGGTGAAGGAATTCTGGGAGTCCCTGCCTAGACTGCTGTCCCCGCGAAACGGCCCTGGATAGGCGGAAGAAAATGGATGGATGGGTCAAAAAGCAACTATTTTCTTCATTATTTGTCTCCAAAACTAAAATGAAAAAAAACAAACAAAAAAAAAAAAAAAAAAAACGGATAACATAGATAACCGGATATCCTGGTCCTGGTCCTGGTCCCGGTCTGAGTCCTGGTCCGGGTCCTGATCCCAGTCTGGTCCTGGTCTCAGTCCTGATCACCCGACAATCTACATGAGCGCGCCTACGGGTCCGTCCCGACACTCAGCCTTGGTAGTCCTGGTTTAGTTCTGGTTTAGTCCTGGTTCAGTCCTGGTTCAGTCCTGGTTCAGTCCTGGTTCAGTCCGTATGCGGCGCAAAAGTCCGGCATCACAGTTTAAGTCACGGAAACGGGAAATAATGAAGAAATAATGAAGAAAACAGTTGTTTTTTTCATGTTCTTATTTTTGATTTTATTTTGAAAAACGAATGATACACGGATTCTTAACCCATGTTCTAATTAAGAATGTGCAAAAAAATCTAAATATC